TCCTTGCTCGATATCTTTCAAGGATCGGCTGGCGTGCCCAACTTCAGCACTACTGCCATTGTAGATGCCATCGGCTTCGGACTATGGGTTGGACTGTGGACGTGGGCTCAAAATTTCGCGCTCGACCTGGCTCAGATACAAATCGCGATTACGCTTGGAAATGGCAGTTCTGGCAAGAACAGTAGGGTCAACACGTTCTGCGTGGCAGGGGTGCTGCTGCTGCACCTGGCGCGGAGCCGAGATGTTCGTCGATTCCTGTATTCGAATCTGGTTCCTGTCGACCTCCTTTCTCAGACTGGACTGTTGGATCATCTGAAATACCTACCCTCGGACCACGATTTTGGCGACAGTCCCGGCCCACCGTCATATTTTCGAAGTTTGTTTGCCATACACATAATCGCACAAGGTGTCATGGCGAGCTTCCGGCGTTACATCTCATCCTATACCACAGGAACAGCCAAATCGAAACGTATAGATACAGAAGCCTCGGCAGGATCTGTTTCGGACGCTTCGGTGTTAGATGGATCCGTCCCCACGGCCGTTTCGTCCTCTGTCGATTACCAACCGCCACCAACACCAGGGTTCAAAGATGGAAAAGATAGTAAAGGTATGAGTGCGAAGAAACGCAGGCGTCAGGCGAACCACGTTAGAAGCAGACAGCCATTTTGGGCCGCTCTCGCCAGCACCAAAGTCCATGTCTTACGAGAGGTCGAGCACAACAAGGCTCTTCCAAGCGTTGGGAATAAGGAAGGCAGCCCTTTCGAAGTATCCCACCAGGACCTTGTTTGGATTGTCAATGTGGAACCTTCGTCGATTTCTTTTGAAGCAACCTACATCTATGAATCAGAGCATACCCAAAAACCCGCGCAAGGAGCAGATTGCCGGCCATTCTACGTACGCATCAATGGCGCCAAGTGGCACGCGGTGTCCTTAGAGCCGCTCGAAAACTCCTCCCGCCACGATGGAAGCGGTGCTCAGTGGGCGGGCACGATATCTGGACTTGCGCCAAATTGCACTTACACGTGTACATTCATCAGCTGCGAAGGGGACGAAGGCTTCGCATCTATCATGGTCAAGACGCCAATGCTCCTGGACAAAGATGTACCCGCTTCAATGGCTCCCGCGTCGGTCCGCCAGTCTTCAACGCCCTCTTCACCTACCACCACCCTGAAAAATTCGATTTCAACAGCCGAAGCTAAATTGAATGAAGCCCGCAATCGCCTTACTAAAGTTCGGCGTCAACACAGAACTGCTTTAGTCAAGGTGGAAAAAGAAGTGGACAGCTTCAGCACTCGACTGAAAACCGCCAGCGACGACACCAAGCAAAGGCAAAAATTGTTGCAAGCTGAACGAAATATACGACAGACTGAGGATGCCACTCAAGAGCTCGATGCGGCGCTTGAAAATCTAGTGTCCACTCCCGATGACGAGAATGACGACCACGCTGCAGCCAAAGAAACGCACGATGAACAGCAGAGGCTCCTAACTGAAGCCAATGATGCTCTGGCCAAGGCGCGTTCTGCTGCGCATGATGACAAGGCTTGCGTCAACCAAGAATTGAACGCCATTGTCACGCGAAAAGAACGGCTTATCGCCCGCAATTCTAAGCTGACCGAACAGCACGATAGGATCACCCATGCCAATGCTCAAGGACTGAATGAGAAAGAGAGAAGAGCTGCTGAGTCGAATGCCAAGGGAGCTGAACAACAGAAACGAGAGGCCGAGCTCAACCAGGAAATCTACAATCTGGACAGGGATTTGAGGAGCGCAAGACTGCGGTGGGAAAGCAATCTGCGCGAACTCGACATTTTGGAGAAGCAAGAAATGGCTCAAAGACAAATGATGCTCAGCAACAGCGGTCCTCTCACGCCAGAAGGCGAATTGCCTGGTACTCGGCCTCCGCCACAACACGCCCGTCCGTATGCGTTTGGCAGCTTCCAGGCATTTCCCAACAGTCCTGTCATCCCCGAAGTTCAAGGCTCCCCTTTCGCTGCCTACGCCAAGACCCTCCCTTCAGGTGACCAACGTCGACCGAGATCGGATACCAATCGCTCTGCTGGCGGGATTAGCAATTTCTCAGCCGACTTTGAAGATGCCGATCCGATACCACCGATGCCGACAACCACCGAGTACGATATGAATGGTCGCAAAGGGAGTGGCAGCAGTAGGGGGAAGAATAACGGCAGTCCAGCAGCTGGCGGGGTTATCGGCGGTGCATTGCGCAGTCCGCAGAGAGGCAGTTACAGTCCAGGACATATTCCGGGTTCAACTACGTGGTAGGATCGCAAAAAAAGTCGTCATTTTGGATGATTCAGACTTCATGTTGGCTGGTTGTAGGGCTCTGATGTAGTCGAAGTCGGCAGTGGCTTCTTGCCAAAGAAATATTCCTGATCTTTATGCATCATTTGCTGCGCCTCACGCAGTGCCCGGGGGTAGATGCCTCAGGTCTAGTATGTCTTTTCTTAGAGCTCCGCCCTATAGAACTCAGGAGGCCCCAAAGAGCTTGCTACAGGGGCTCCTTTAGACCTATTTACGTTTCAGCAGGGATGCTAGATGCCTGCAAAATGAGTCAGATCGTCTGGTCACGTGATATCATGCGCCCAATAATTTCTACGTTACTTGCGCCTCACTTTCTGATATGTTAGTCGAATACTCGCCTCGACCTCTATACATGCGCAGTCTGCTACGAACGTGTAGCACGAGCCTGTCCCTCAATCGCCGCATCTACCCCACGTTCTCGTCCTCAAGTCTCCGCTATCATCTACGGTACTGTGCCACAATGGCGAAAGACAAGAAGAAGAGCAAGGAAGTGGTGAAGAACCCCAAGGGCACGCGTGACTGGTCTGGTGAGGATATCGACTTGCTCAAAGCCATCAGAAGGCAAATCGAGAAGGTCTTTGAGAACTATCGCGGCTTGGAGCTGGACACCCCAGTCTTTGAGCTGCAGGAAGTTTTAAAGGGAAAATATGGTGAAGATTCTAAATTAATTTACGACCTGCAGGATCAAGGCGGCGAGCTCCTCTCACTACGCTATGATATGACCGTTCCTTTTGCCAGGTGGTTGGCCATGAATCCAGATATTGAGACTTGGAGGAGATACGCAATAGGCAAAGTCTATCGGAGAGATCAACCGGCCATATCGAAGGGGCGAATGCGCGAATTCTGGCAATGTGACATTGACTTTGCCGGCGAGAGTGCTCCGATGTTCAATGACAGCGAAATGATTTCGATCATCGTCAAAGTCTTCGAAACCCTGGAATGGAGCGGGAGGTACACAATCAAGATCAATGACCGAAGAATATTGGACGGACTGTTCGAGGTCTGCGGCGTTCCGGCGGAGAAGATCAGGACAATATCTAGCGCGGTCGACAAACTAGACAAGCTGCCCTGGCTGGAAGTGAAGAAGGAGATGGTTGAGCAAAAGGGGCTCGAAGAATCCGTGGCAGACAGAATTCAAACGTACGTCACGAGAAAGGGAGGGAAAGAGTTGCTGGAGGAGCTGCAGAAAGACGAGGCTCTCATGAGCAATCCCAAGGCCCAAAAAGGCATTGAAGAGATGGACCTGCTGATGCGCTACCTTCGGAGGTGGAAGGCTCTCGATAAAATCTCCTTTGATCTGTCCCTGGCGCGGGGCCTTGACTACTACACTGGTATCATCTATGAAGTCGTCACTGAAGGCTCTGCCCCTACCCGCACACCTGCTCCGGCCACCGACTCCGCGCCTCCTATGCCACCTGTCGCTACCAATGGCGGCTCCAACGGTCTTCCTAGGAGGGAAAAGAAGAAGCAAATTTCTGAAGACGATGACAGATCCGAAGATCCATCCGTGGGTGTAGGATCAGTGGCTGCGGGTGGTCGCTACGACCACCTCGTCGAGCGATTCCGGCCTGATGCCAATATCCCCTGCGTTGGTGTGAGTTTTGGCATTGATCGGATAATTGCCATCACCAAAGCAAGAATTGCAAAGGGAGAAAAGTTCAGCTACATTGCCCGTAACAGGACCGACGCATATGTCATGGCGTTTGGTGGTTCTGGCTTTGGAGGAATGTTTGAGGAACGGATTGATGTCCTTGTTGCCCTGAGAGATGCTGGTATCAGAGCGGAGACTTTCTGGAAACAGAAGGCAAAGCTGCAGAAGCAATTCAAAGAGGCGGACCGGGCTGGAGCACCCATTGCAGTCATTCTCGGAGAAGATGAACAGGCAAGAGGCGAGGTGAAGGTGAAGCAAATGGGTCTAGCGGAGGGCGACCCCGAAAAGGAAGGAGTCCTAGTCAAGGTCGAAGATCTCGTTGCCAGAGTGCGAGGTCTGCTGGCAAAGATAGACGAGTAAAGAAGATTCGGCAGAGGTCCGGAAGGGGTAAGGGGGAGAGAGGGATCTAGATCATGTTTGGAGTTGAGATGGCGCTCCGAGCCGGCAAGGCTGCGATCGTTAGAGCATCGCTTAGGTAGACAAGGCTGGCCAATCAGAACCCAGAAGAGCCCGTCGTCTCGCCTCCCAAGCCAAGCGCCCAGGTTGAAACAACCCCTTTGTCTCATCAACCGTTGTCTGCTACAATTGACCCTCAACCTGATACGCCCCAGCCACTCGGAGCCTCAACTTCGAGACTGTGATGAAGAAGAAAACGTCGCAGATGGTGTTTGAGATCCCGCTGGGCCAATCGCGACCCGATGGACGCTCTTTGCAGCCACTTCGCCTCTCCTCGCCTGTCTCTTACCCTGTTCACTTCGCAGCATTCGTCGTCTGAAGCCGCTGTCCGGATGCTCATCACACCGAGAACAGTCAGCTCCCTTCAATTTGGTCTTTGTTGGTATCCCCCTTTCCAGCTGGACTTCAAAATGTCCATTTAGAGTCGCAAGTTTCGCACCTTCTTCTCGTCCTCCATCCCCCATCTTCCTCATCCTCGCTCAAAAGAGTCATTCGTTCTTTGTTGCTGGATCAGCATCTAATTTTCTTTCCCTTATTTGCCATTCCTTTGTGAAAAAGCTCACATTCTATCGCGATGCCGGCTGTCCGCTCCTTTTTCACTCTTTCTCTTTTGGCCGCTTGCCTGGCGCAAGTACGTGTCCTCTGCACCTGTCCGAGTCTTGTGTTCCTTGGCTGACGAGAAGACAGGTTTCGGCTGGTTCCATGGGTGGTGATGGTGGCTCTGGCTGGGGTGGTGACGGGAGCAACCAAGGAGGCCAGTACGGGGGCGGTGGTTACGGCGGTGGCCAAGGTGGCTCCTGGGGTGGTGGCAGCAAGGACAACAATCAATATTCCTCCTGGGAAGCCGCGCCCACCACTGTCCAACCCCAGAGCTGCCCTCCTCAGAGTTGCCCAGCCCAGACTTGCCCGCCCGCCATGACCAGTACAAAGACCGAGACGGTAAGAATTCTGGACTACGCCAAGTTGCGCCAGGTTTCATATTACTGACACTTGATACCAGTCCACCGTGACGGCCGTCTCCCCTTGTATGGGAAGCACCGTGACCGCCTACGTGACTCAATGGATGAATGCTCCACCCGGGTGTTGGTGCGGTGCTGGCAGTCCACCTCCTGAGGCTACTGGATGGGGATGGGGGGCGATGGGCGATGCTGCCGTGTTCACCTCCAGCAACCCGTCATTCACGCCCGGCCTTTCGTCGATCCCAGCCTCTGAAGCCGTCAAGACCGGTGTGACTGTCGCGGGTGGTCCACCGGCTGCGGCCCCGACAGCTGCTGTCTCTCCTGGCGGCTTCTTTGGGGGCTCATCGAGTAAGTCTTTCTCACGTCTCACCAAATAAGGCAATTCGAGATCATAACGTTAACATTGATTTCCTCCAGGCTCTGCAATGACGACATCTGGTACGGAACCTTCTGGCCCTAGTAGCAGCGTCCCGTCTAACATAGCCGAGCCTACTAAAACAGGGGAGGCTCCTAAGCCAGAAGCTTCGAGCTCGACTGCCAGTACAAGCTCGTCGGCGGCGGCAGCACCTTTATCGACGACCTCAACCTCAACAACAACTTCAAAAACTTCCACCACATCAAAATCCTTGCCTTCATCATCCTCATCAACGACAACCTTGTCTTCAAGTGAATCCGCCGCAACCGCGGTGGCAGCCTCAGCGACAAGCGGCGGGTTTCCGGTCGGCTCCTTCAACACTATCGACCCTGCAACCCTGACGCTCAAGAACGCCTATACGCTGGGCATCGGAAGAAGAGCACCTGTACCGACTATGTTATCATAGACTCGCAGAAGAAACGAAAGAACCGCGCAGCATTGAATGAATATACCCCTTGATTTTGAGGACATGGACGACATTGGATCGGACAGAACTATTGCTTTTCATTTCTTGTATATTGGAGAAGCTGGACTCTAGGCCAGATGCCCCGGGTCTCCTAGCTTTTGAGAGGCACTTTCTTATCGGGAAGTGTCTCGTGTTTGATAGGAAAATTTGACGCAGTGGTATCCTGGGCGTAGACCATATCTGCGTCGTCGGGCCCTGCTTTACTACCATCACCACTTTCCATTCGAGCCTTTTTGGCTCTTCTCTTCGTCTCGCGCTTCGAAAGTGGCTTTTCTACTGTAGGCTGTGTGTCCTGGTCCGCGGAAGTCGGTAGTTGTGATTCGGAAGCTTTGCGTTTCAATCCGTTGGGGACCGTTTCCTCTTTCTTTCCTTTGGCCATCTGGTTTTGAATTGCTTCGTGTCGAGTCCTATTCTCCTTCCTTTCCACTCCAGTCTTGCCTGCAAAAGAAGAGCTTGCGCCTCCGTCCACGATATCGATTACACCCCGAAAACTTGTTCTCTTGATACCCGCTAGCCTCACAATCTTCGCGGCTTCTTCGCACAATGCTTCTTTTCCCCTCTCTTGTCCCAGCCCCCAAATCATTGCCAGATTAACCACATCGTGAGGCCCCCTTACTCCCAAGACATTTTTGGCTTCGCTGCTCAGGATTATCCCCTTGCCCCTCGTTGCGCGAATCAACGCAGTTGCACCACTGATCAAATTTCTCCTCGCCTCGTTATTGCCCGCCGATTGAATAGAAGGCGAATAGCATATCTCAAAACGGATCCCTCGCTGTAGTGCTCCTGAGACGGTTTTGAACTTGAGGGGGAAGGTGAGTCGTTGAGAGAAGTCGAGAGAGATCAGATCGCAATCGAGGGACGCACAGCAGAGTTGGAGCGTCTTCTCTGTTGTCGGGCGCAGGGCTAGCAAGGAGTATGCCGGCGAGAACTGCGCGAGGCGGTGGTTTTGCGTGGCGTCAGAGATTGTGAGTGTCAGTCGTGTGAGGACGGTGTTGACACTTGCTGGGATGGTGATCGACGATAGAGGGATGGGCTGAGGTGTAGGAGGAAGTTTGCCCGTGACGGAGAGAGCAATGGCAATCACTGAATAACCCAGTTCAGCGTGGAACGCGAGGGTATGAGAGAGGTCTACATGATTAGGAGTGTACACCACGTTAAGGTCGTGGAAAGGCATATTGTCGGGTGAGAGAGACGCAACTCTGCGTCGGGTCGAGAGCAACGACGAGCATGTTGTTACTGAGCCGCGCCCTGGTCGAACTTCACCACAGTATTTCAGCGGTGGTTTTCAGGAAGCTTTGGTGCTGAAATAAATGATGTTGAAAAGACCGAGTTTGGCGCTGGCGCAGTGGGAGGTGCCGGGGAAAATATATCCGCCAGTAGTGTGAGTCAAAGGTCAGATCCCTGCCTGATGTGGGATGGCATGCAGATCTGAAGACTTGCCGCAGCACAGATCGCTTTCCGTGCCACAGCTACGGTTCTCTGAATTCCACCCACTCACTGCTCCATCTTCATTCTTTGGCCCATTGGCTTGAATCACTTACTGGGCAGTCACCGGTCGTCTTGTTGTGGCTGGCCGTGTTTTTTCCTTACATTCCATACTCACTTACGGACGACGCCGCACAACTCTAGCCTTGTCCTGCCCGTCCTCCATCCTCCCAACGCATGACCCTACCCCACGATCTACTCGTTCTCTAGCCGACGCAACCGCACCGCAGCCATGGCGCGCGTCTACGCAGATGTCAATGCCAACATGCCGCGGTCATACTGGGACTACGACTCGGTTGCCATCTCATGGGGTGTTCTGGAGAACTATGAAATTGTCAAGAAAATCGGTGAGGCTTGCCATCAGGCACACACACATCTGACGAGGCGGAATTACTGACGGGAGGGGGGAACCAGGTCGCGGCAAATACTCCGAAGTCTTTGAGGGCATCAACATTGTCAACTACCAGAAATGTGTCATCAAGGTGCTCAAGCCGGTCAAGAAGAAGAAAATTAAGCGTGAAATCAAGATACTTCAGAACTTGGCCGGTGGTCCCAACATCGTGGCATTGTTGGACGTGGTCCGGGACAGCCAGAGCAAGACGCCCTCTCTCATCTTTGAGAACGTCGACAACACCGATTTTCGGACCCTCTATCCCCGCTTCGTGGACTACGATGTGCGCTACTATATCTTTGAGTTGCTCAAGGCGCTGGATTTCTGTCACAGCAAAGGGATCATGCATCGAGATGTCAAGCCGCATAACGTTATGATCGATCATGCGAAAAGAAAGGTGAGGAAACCCCATCTACACAAGTGATTCGGAGTTTCGGGCTGTGGTTGGGTATGCTGACGATGCTGGGGTCAAAAGCTTCGACTTATCGATTGGGGTCTCGCTGAATTCTACCACCAAGGCACGGAGTACAACGTGCGTGTCGCCTCCCGCTACTTCAAAGGGCCTGAGTTGCTTGTCGACTACCAGGAATACGACTACTCGCTGGACATGTGGTCACTCGGAGCAATGTTCGCCTCCATGATCTTCCGCAAGGAACCCTTCTTTCATGGCAACAGTAACTCGGATCAGCTAGTCAAGATTGCAAAGGTTCTGGGTACGGATGATCTGTTTGAGTATCTGGATCGCTATGACATTGAGCTGGACGCGCAGTACGACGACATACTGAGCAGGTTCCCGAAGAAGCCGTGGCAGAGTTTTGTCAATGCAGATAATCAGCGCTTTGTCAGCCCGGAAGCTATCGACTTTCTGGACAAGCTGTTGAGATATGATCATCAGGTGTGCAACATTGGATTTGCTCATTATCCTGTGGTTGAACGCTGACTGAATTTAACTAGGAGCGACTTACTGCTCAGGAAGCAATGGCACATCCCTACTTCGCACCAGTAAGAAATGCTGCGGCACAGCAACAACAGCAGCAGCAACAGCAGCAAAACTCCCAGAACCATGTTTCTTGAGACAAGCATGACTAGAAGGCGTAACCACACATCTCCTGGGATCTCACCATGAAGGACAAGAGACCGAGGCATCCCAAGGGGATTTCTCTGAACGAGTGATGAGAGACGACGATGATTCAAACTTCACAGCGCCGCGGCAGCGCAACAAGGTTCTGTTCAAGAAATAGGCTCAAATATGTGGATTTTGAAGACGAGTGAAGGCCGGTACGAGGAGATGAATGAAGTCTGCGAAAATATCTTCTCGGAGAGAGGAAAGAGGAAACGAGGAATGAGGAACGAGGAGCTGTGGAAAGGGGCTTGTGTTGCAAGGAAGTCAGGAACTCAACTCACTTTTGACACGGTAGCGTAATACATTTTCGTAACAATATCGTCCCCTGGACCTTTTGCGGCTCTATATTCGTCTGGTGAAGCTGCGAAAAGGAGGACCCCCGTCGTCCTTCGGCGTGGTATCCTTCGGTTCTGTGGGAGATGTTGCAATATTGTGATTCTGACCAAGTCTCGCGACCAGAAGTTGTCGTGACAGCTGGTCCCGGCCTATACCATACTTCTACGCCTTTTCCAATGTTGTATCTCTCTATCTCTATGATTTGGCTACAGATCCCTGTCTCCACATGATTGTTCACTTTGTCTGTAATCCAGGTCTTCAGCAGGTTTAGTTGGATTACCTCTAAAAGGCCCTCTGATCAACATTCTGAGCCGAGATACTTCAATGTCGATTATCGAAAGGTCCTTGGACTAGATTTGTTTGAGGTATCTCTTCCCAGAGATACAGGACTATTCTCGACCTCGCCCTCGAGTAAGGTCCTGAGAGTCGACGCATCTCCGATCTTGCCTTGTGGCATTGTTGAGACTTTCAAGAACCTGCATCAAACTTTACATCTGTTGATCGAGGTCAATGACAACAAAAATACTGCCGTCTCGCGAGTCTCTCATATAACCCTGTCGCTACTATTACGGCCACATTTTTGACAGGTTTCCCAGGGCAAGCTCGGATGGCCTCCTTTTGAGTCATGCATGCTCTGAGATCAAATTTTCTGGAACTCCAGCTGGGCGACGCTGCACTTCCCACTTGACGACAGCCGCTGGAATGAAAGCCTGGTGTTTCGACTTGTTGATGTGTTGATGTCATGGGTGCCAAGGCGCTAATGGCGAGGCTGCACGGACAACATATTCTACATCTTCGGCTGTACATACATGTTACATTCTGTGGTCCTTGCAGGGTTCCTTCCAGCGGTCGAGACTTGGTCAAATAGACTACTCAATACATCAGTCAGCTCTGCATCCTGAACCTTGTCAGATCATGTCTTTTCTCTGGTGTCTTGGCCTGCTTTGACATTCGTTGCTATGCCATCTTCCCCTACCCGATTGCTCCCTTCCATATCTACGGTACATTCGTAAGAAAACAGTAAGTCTGTCAGCATTCTTGAAGATTACCCAAGCGTGAATAGAGTACTCAGGATGCTCGTGACCTTGTGGTCCTGTTCCGGATTGCTTTTGAACGCCATGAGCATGCCCGGATGCCTTGTATTGAAAGCGACGCCGAGTCACGACTATTTGGTGACAGTATGCACACACCAAAGGGCAACAGTCTCATGTGAAAAACCACAACTACAGAAGTCACATGTGACACCAGAAAATCCCCACTATAGAATTTAAAGTCACAGAAATTCTTCCACAATCGCAAAGACCCCTACTCAGGAAAGAGACTTACAGAGTCAACAAAAACAAAAAAAAGTGAGAAAGAGACTTACAGAGTCAACAAAAACAAAAAAAAGTGAGAAAGAGACTTAACGAAGTCAACAAGGTGGAATTTGGTTCTATTAGGCGATCCTCCGACCTCCCTCCTCATCCTCCTCCTCCAACCGAGCGAGAAGATATATCAGGAACCTGGCACCGGGCCAAAAAGGAGTCAATATATCTCGATAACGGAAAAACCTGCCACGGCGGGTTTAACTTCCCACCACCCCCTTCGAAAGGGGCTGGTGGAAAA